CTATTTACAATAAGTAGTCATTTATCAATTCTTCTGAACTAAAACAATTGGGCCGAAATGTATCTTAAAAATTTTAAATATAGGGCCCTTCCTGGTGGTGCAGTGGGTTAAAGTACAGCACTGGCAGCTAAAGCCACTTCAGCATGAGTTCGATCCCCGCCCCGGAGGTGACCCACATGGCGCGGCAGACCTCTCCTGACCTGCCCACTGCTCCCCTCAGCAGTGTACCTTATGGATCTGCCTGTTCTGGTCCCCACTCTCTGTCTCTGGTGAAGCTTTTTACACCCCTGCCCCTCTGGCCTGTACCTTAGTTCCGTATGCATAAATAAATAAATCTTTAAAATTTTTTAAATATATGCTGCTTTTTAATATAATAAACAATTATATATAAGTCTACCAAGTGTTATATCATGCTAATAAGACAGCTCTGCAAATTAGCACATATAACATAGAATTTATTCTTATAATAGAGATTCTGTAGTATAGTTTTCCAAAATGATTCAGTATGACAATCTATTAATCCCTCTTGTTTAGGATGGCAGAATTCAGAATTGCTAAATACTAGTTCAATGACCCTTTTAATAAATATATAGGTTTCTAAATACCATTGCATTGTTCTAAATTGAAAAGTTTTATATAGTTGATATAAATGATACATCAATATGTAGGAAGAACTTAATAGACAATATAAGACTCTCCAATGATATTACAAAAGTATAGCATAATTGATTGCAAATGCTATTAGTAATTCTACTTTCTCATACATAATTTAACTTTCTTATGTCCAATAGCATGCATCTCAAACCCAAACAAATTAATGTAATCTAACCAATAGGTAAATGCTTTGGACAAACTGACTGAACAGCATTAAATACTTTCCATAACTACTTTCAAGTTTTGTTGCTCTAAAGAAAATACCTTTTGCAGAAATATGCTCTGGGTCCTATGCTTTAGGCAAAAATCTTTCTCCTTATTACATTACAGTAGGACCTCATATAACTTCTACTCAAATCTATGGCATTAAAATGGCAGAATGGTATTCAGCTTTTGGTAAGGTAAACTTACTATATCACATTTAAAAGAAGAATATCCCTTTCTGATTAAAGCATAGAAGCACAGAATATTTTGAACTCATATCAGTAAGGTGGCTTAAAATGTACACAATTCATACAGAAAAGTATAAATGGAAACATATTTAGAAAACCCTCTTAAAATGACATGTATTTTACGAGTTCTCATGCTCTGGGAGAATAAAATGAAGGTATTCCTTCTATTTTTCCAAAATATTAAACATTTGGACATAGAGAACATAACTATTAATAAGATAAGAAAATAATTGCAACATTGTAGTTTTAAAAAGTTGTGTGAGATGTATACATTGATCCAGAGAAGAATTAGGGGTTCCCCTTGATTCCCTGGGTCTAGAAAACTGGTCCAGAAGCATGAACAATGTGCCTCTAGCACCTCCTGGTAGTCTGCCATCCCATGAAGTACTAATTCAATTTTTGCATGTACAATAAAAAGTAATTTGAAGATTGGAGAGAATAATTTCTCTAAAAACAGATCAACAACTTTTAATAGGCATAAAAGACTGATATATATTATAGGTAGTAGCAACTAAAGTACATATTTTATAAGTTAATGAAAACATTAATTTGTGTTTGTAGTCAATTATAATCCATTCTAGGGAGGTCCCAAATACTTTTATATTGGACAAATATATCATTAAATAGTTTGTCAAGAAGGCCCAAATAACTTAAAGTCAATCTTTCAAATATTTATCAATGAATACCATTATTAGAATTAAGGGACATTTTGATATTTAATGTATTCCTTCACTAACCTCAAAAGGCAAAGTTAAAATGTTATGGATTTTGGAATTATTAAATGTGATTTCGCTGTAAGTCCTCTAAGCAAAATAGAGAAGTTGATTTATAAGATTGAGGATATTAGTAGATCACAAATGAATTTCTCATTTTTATTATATCATTTACGAAAAGTTTTGTTTTTCTTGATTCTTTCCTCTAAAACAGACATTCTGGCATTTAGGAGATAGAAATGTATCATTTGACCTTTTAAACTTCTGTTTCATTACTGTAACCACAAGCAACAGAGTCACTGACTGACATGTTTGCACTTTCAGGCCTTTAGCACTTAAAGTTATTTGATAACTGCTGTGGCACTATTTACTTTTTATTAGAGACACTTTGAGGAATGTGTTACATTAAAAATAGAATATACTGGATAACATTTAATAAATAATATGTAGTCAGTGAAGTAGTCACTTAAGGATTAGATTTCTGTACTTTGATGGGAGTGTATGTTTGAAGGTGGATTTTGTTTTGTTTTGTTTTGTTTTCTAATAAATTATAGTATAACCTTAAATATGACTATAAGTATTCATGATAAAAGCATAAAATACAATTTCATGGCATTACTTTTGATGAATAATATGTCACTGACTTATACTGAAGTGGCTAGTCCTTAAATTCTTTTTGCATTTATAGATGAACAGACTAAATAGCAGTTGTAGGAGAGAAGTCAAGAAAAATAACTTACACCATTAATATTTTTGATTTAGCAGATATTTCTTGTAAATACATATGTGAAAACAGCTTAAGACCAATGATGGTATAAAAAGTTCAAAAATGGGATATTATCTCGAAAACTATTTTACAACAAGCAAATTACTTAGTGTAAAAAGTAATGTAGATTAGATTTCTGTTACATATAAGAAATCTGTTTATTAAAAACCTGTAATTGATTAGAAACATCATTTAGAAGGGATATTCTATTCCCTCCACAATACTTAAAAGTGAAAAGTTCCCCCAAATAAGATATCATAAACCTGAACCTACATCACAAAAATGGATGAAGTACAGTGCATACAAGTAAACAAGGACCGCACCAAACCAACAATACTGGAAAGATATCCCCTGTCCCAGCCCCCAACCCCAGTTAAAAAGGCTTCACTATTGGAAGCAGACTTGAAACATAGGTCTCCTAGAAGCAGAGCATGGACTCAGCTATTTTCATTAGCCACAGCATTTACTAGATTGTGGATTAGAAATAAATGCCAAGAGAGATCAGGAAAGGACCAGTCAATCAAACCCTTTAGATTGAAGATAGTTAATGCTCTTTATAAATCAACGATATGCTGCCACAAACATACAGATTGCAGCTCCCAGGATATATGTTTGCAGTTTCTGAAGGCAGTGTTTTTCCCTTACCAACGTTGCTCAAACTTCCAAAACAAACTTAATATAAACAACATAAATAAAGATTTAATTATATCCTCTATGTGAGAGTCCATCACTTTTATAAACAATGAAATGCTTTCACTAAGCTGTAAAAACTATTTGTTACTTTTGTATATAGCCAATGGTGTTTTGTTTTTACAACAAAGATAACAACATATATTATACAAGCATGTTACTATATACTAGAAACTATGACTATGTTCTTCAGTATTTGCACTGGTAGCATGTTTCAGAAGGTATAAATCATATACCACACCCATATCCCAAGAAATTAATTTTAAAATATATTGTATGAATTCAATTAGAAACATCCTACTTTCTTTCACCTTAAACTTGCCATGTATACCAATTTTGTGCTAACCACACTTATAAGCCAACTACCACCCAGTGGAGAAAAAGGAGATCTTTCATGGAGACTTGAGGTGTATGTCAGGTGGGGGTGTCAGGGTGATAAAGGAAGGTGATGGGAAATGAAGGCATGAGAATGTTTAGACTGTTGAGATCTAAGCACTGCTGATCATAAATTTATATTTTCATAGAAGATAAAATGTTCCCAAGAGCTCACTCTACAGTGTTTTGGAGGGTAAAAATCAGGTTATTAGATGCTCATGAATGACAAAATATGTTAATGCACAAGCTTAAAGAAGAGAAGAAGAGTTAAAGAAGTAAAACTGAAGGTGAAGGAAGGAGGAAAAAAGGAGGGGAGGGGAGGGGGGGGAGATAGAGAATGACCACATGTAGACATGTGTGAGTGACAGTGTGTAGAGCAGTGAAGGAGTGTGTGCCTTTTAAACAGTAAGAGAATCTGCATATGAAAGTGGCTGTTAGAGCATGGAAGTGCCTGTGTGAGGATGTGAAATACACAGTGTGTGAGGGAGTGTGTTTAAGATAAAAGAGGCTTGTGAGGGTGAGAAAATGGTACTGGATGGGGTCAGAGGCAGCATGCATGTGTTTGTGACAGGCAGGGATGAGGAAGGATGTGGGGAGCGGGCGGGGGAACGTGAGTCCAAAAAAGGGGACACATAATAGGGCCGTTAATGAAGAAGAAAGAAAAAAGGCTGTGGAGAAAGAAGAGTAGAGGAAAGGGGATTGAATAAGAGGATCAGAAATAAAGTCGTGGAAATAAAAAAGAGGAAATGGAAAAGGGGGGAAGAATGGAAAATAGAAAAGGTATGAAAAGGGGCAATGGAGGGAAAAGAAAGGGAGTGGGAAAATGAAAAAAACTGAAAGAGGAGGGTGAAAAAGACACGAAGCATTAAGAGGAAAGAAAGCAAGCGAGAGAGAGAGAATTTGAGCCTAAGCTCAATTGAGTCCAAGTGAGAGGGAAAATAAACGCGAGCAGAGAGCCAGCAGTTTGAAAAAGTGCTTAGGCTAGAGTATAATAGAACCCACCCCGATAAACTTGTCAGACTCTCCACAAGCACCCCTTGACAGTAAAACAAGAGACCTTGTGAATTGAGTTTCAAAGTGGCACCTGCCCCTCCTAAACCTCACACTTCACTCATCCCCGGGCTACTTGGCTTTCGGGGCAAAGTGCTTTAGCATCACGAGTCCTGCTCGCTACCTGCCTTGGCGCAAAGGGAGCGGGCTCCGGGCAGAGTCAGCACCTGGAATTCTTGAGCTGCGGTCGGTCCACGATGACCAACCCCGGCATTACCGTCGCTTTAAAGAGAAGGCAAAAGGATGGAAAGAGACAGAAAGAGACTGAGACAAGTAAGAAAAGCACGCCGTTCTTCCTACCTAAGCACCGCCGTGTCCCCTTTTCTGACCATCATGTTGTCCACGGCCGCCCAGGGGAAGTCCACACTCTGTCCAGCCGGGAGGCAGGAGGGTAGCAGGCAGCACAGGCTGAGAAGCACCGCCGCCAGCCACTGGTTCGAGCAACAAGCACCCTGCACCAACAGCATCATGTCCATCCCTGCTAGGGCTGCTCACTCTCCAGCAGCTTTCAGCTCGCGCTCCCCCACCCCCTGGTGCTGGCGAGTCTTCCCGGGAACCAGGCGGCGCGCCACAGGATTTTTTTTTTTTTTTTTTGGTGGGTGGGTGGGTTTCTTTTCTTTCTTTCTATTTTTTTTTCTTCTCCCTCTCTCTCTCACTCTAGTTGTTGGGTGTTGTTTCTCTCTCTTTTTTGGCTTCCCCTCCTCCTCTTCTTCGCTTTCCCTCCCTCCCACCCCTCCCACCCCCTGGCTCCACGCTACACCTCCTCTCTGTTGCTTTTGGCCGCGTCCAGAGTGTGTCTAATTCTCGGGCGGCTCGCACACCATCTAGCGAGGAGGCGAGCGCGCCGGCTAGTGAGGGAGGAGGCGCGGCCGCGGCGGAGGCTGGGCGAGCGGCGGCGGCTGCAATCGCAGCAGCGGCGACG